GCGAAGTAATAAGGGGGGTGTTTTGTTTAGGCCCATTTAAGTTACTAAGAGTTAAATAATAATATTTTATTAGAAAATAGAAGAAAGGAGAGAAAGAGGTGTTATCAGGAAAAACAAAATAAAAAGAGAAAAGAGAATAGGGTTTTGTGAGAAGAGGAGAAGAACGAGGAAGCTGTTGTTAGGGCTAGTTTCTAGAAATTCCATTGAAGCTTCCTTGATTGTTTCAAAATCAAACCAGGTAAGGGTGGGTTTCTTATACTATAATGGGGTGTATGATATTTTGTATGTGGGAATTTATATGTGAAATTGTTACTGTTTTATTGACTTGTGCTTGGCTTGTGTTGTTGTGATAATAAAGATTAATATTGTTTTAGTTATAGAACTGTCAAGGAAAATATGTGGGTTGCTGTATTATTGTCTGGGTTGAGTTTGGATTAGGAGACATAAGAATTACTGAAGCAGTGTGGAAACTACGCATAAAAATTAAGTGTAGGAAATAAGAAGATAAAATGAAAATGAAACTGGAAGTGGAAGTGCCGTCCGACACTTGTGTTATGGGGGTTGCCGTTCGGCAACCTTGGAAGAATGGAGAAGTGCCGATCGGCACTAGGTGGAGGGGAAAAGTGCCACTTTGGCACTGTGAGGCAGGGGCACTTGTTTTCTCTGTTTTCTCTGTTTTTTCTGCTTGTCCTTCTAAGGCACTATGTTGTATAATTCTCAAATAATATCAGTAATAGCTAGTAGCAGTATATATGAATGTCACTGTTTTCAGTAGCAGTAAATTAAATTTAGTTGCTAGAAGCTAGTTTTATATGGAAGAATGGCACACCCATTAGTTGTATAATAAGTTAGCAATTTTAGGGAGAACAAATAACAATGGACTATATATATTTTAAATGGTTGAATTAGTATTTTATTAGTGATGAAAATAATTTAGCAATGTGATTAATTGATTAAGTTGGTAAGTAATTTGGAAATGAATCGATTAATTCGGTATGTTGGTAATTGATGTAATTTACAAACTCACCGAAATGCCGTTTTGTTTCGATAAATCCGTGGTTAATAAATGTTGTGTATTACCCTTGATTAATTGGTAATAACTGTGATATAGGCCTTTGGACAATGTTGAAGGTGTGAATTGTTGTTATGTCGACCTTTATTATGTTGTTGTCGTTGTTGCGTTGCCAAGTTGTGGTTGTTTATATCATCGCATAGCATAGCATTAAAGTTGGCATGGATTGGCATGTTCTATGTTGGAGCGAATATTCACCATGTTGGCCTTTATTGGCAAGATTTATGTTGAGGGCTTATGCCTTATGCCTCAGTAAATTGGCATTTTCTAAGTTGGGAGTTCTGCTCCAATGGTACCACATGCATTTGCATAGTTGAGTAGCATTTGTAGTCATCGATTTGTTGCTTATTTGAAGTGTTCTTTATGCACGGTAATGTTATAAGTTGAATTGAGGTGTTGGAGGTATTGCTTTATGTTGATTTGGTATGAAGTGGTGATTTTACATTGACTGATTTCGATATATTATTTATCATATGTTCTATTATAGTATTCGATATCTCACCCCTTCTGTTTGAATGTTACCCTTTGTTGGTAACGTGCGGGTAACCAAGAGGAGTAGTCGTTAGCGTTGTTAGTTCGAGTTTGGTGTCATTTGCTCTGATACGTAGCACTCGAGGGGAAATGAATGCTTGTCTTATTTTTTTATTTTTTTATCGAGCCTTATGTTGTTATTTGAGGAGTTATCGTATTGATGTTGTTTTATGATTCAAAAGATGCTATGCCTCATATGGAGAATTATTATGAATCCGTTGCATGATTAATCAAAGTTGGTTTATGTTATAAAGACTTTATTCATGAGTTGTGTTCATTCCGTTTTCTTTAAGTGTTATGTATCTATTCTAAAAGTATGAAAGGTTTATGTGTCTCTGTTGAATGTGTAGCATCCTGATTATTCTGGAAATTTTTATACTCTGATTTTCCATAAATTGCTTGGGGTAGAATTGGGGTGTTACATTAATCATCATTAAAACTTTTTTATCAAAAAATCACCAAAAACAATTTCCTTTTCCTTAGTCTTATAATTAGTATAGTTTTCTTTTCTCGCGTGTTTCACGATTATTGTAACTGCTCACAATTTGTAATAGTAATTAGGGTTTATTTTCCGCCTTTCTATTATGTACTTCTCCCAAAACCATGTAATAGTCTAGGGTTTTATTTTCTGCTTTTACTTTCCTCTTATTTACCGCTTTCCTATTTTTTACTATTACTGTAGTAATTAGGTCATGTATGGCAAGATAAAATAAAACGGTAGCAATCCCTAATTTCAAAGATAAGCATAACTGAATTACAACACACTTTGCACACCTGCGCCTCTAGGGTAACCTCTCTTGTTTCCTCGGAAAAAACAATCATATCCCTTGAACGCGGGGACGCTTTAGCATTGTCCCTCGAAATCAAATATTGTAGTCCCTCGATGACCCTTTCAATGTTGCCTTCGATAAATGATCTAGTCCCTTACGAAATTGCTAAAGTGCCCCTACAAGTTGCATTCGATGACTGTACGATGAACCACACCTTTCCCTCAATATCTAATGATATGGATTCCTACTAACTAATGATAGGATAACACTATCTAAAGGAGGATGAAAATTACAAGAAAGACTTTGAGTAGGTAGAACACTCGTAATCGCTTGCTCACAAACATTTCAAAACTAAAAAAACATGTTTTCATGAACACTTTTCACACAATATTTTCAAACACTTTGTACGCGTTCTCGAGAACAAAAACGAGAATCATTACAAATTCTAGCCTTACAATTGGCATTTTAAAATATTTTTCAAGCACACATTCAAAAAGCATTTTCAAAACAAAGTGAGTTAGCGATTAAGAGTCCGTAGATAACTACGGATGAAAAGGGTGCTAACACCTTCCTTTTTCATAACTTACCCCCCAAACTGAAAATCTATCCAAGGTATTTCCCGTTCTTTCACCTTTCCTAAATATTGGATAAAATAAAATTCGGTGGCGACTCTTTCTATTTGCAATATTTCCGATAAAATGAAAAACCATGTCAGTTCTCCCACCGTATTACACTAAGAAAAAGAAAGTGTTGGTTTTAAATTCAAATGCAAAAAGGGGGAGAAAAGAGTCCACGAGAGACTAGCTTATTTCTAATCCTAATATTATCATACAATGGTGGTCCTAAGGTTAGAATTAACAAAAGGGAAACGTATACCTAACGTTTTCATGCATGGTTTGCAACTTAAGGTCTAACTTGCATCTGAAAGGAATAAGCACGTCCTAAGAGAACATGGTATAGAAAGCGAGTGAGCAAACATACTCGAAAGAGCACACACATGAAATGGTAAATAAAAGAAGTGAAATTCTTTAGTCAAGGGGAGAGGATCACCTGAGACAAACAAGCGGGAGTTAAATATAAAAGAAGAGAAATTCTATAGCTAAGGGGAGCAGATCACCCAAAGCAAACAAGCGGAAATAAAATGTAAAACAAAAATGTGATGTCCAAAGAGACTAAATACCTAACCAAGATATAGAAGATCGAGGTAGGATATAGAAGGAAATATGAAAAATCATGGAATGTCTGCATTTGCCAATGCGAACTCCTGACAAAGCGCGGGGGATTGGTTGTAAAACCCTTTTCCACCTGACGACTCGATACACAAGATCTGCATAATTCTGAAGCGTCGTGGTGCGTCACAAGCTAAGGATGACACAGACGAAATTGTGGGTGTTGATTGCTAACCCTTTATGCTCGGCTCCTCTTGAGGACTTCCATGGGGGATAGGGGAATACTGCGGACACAAATGTAAACACACGTGTGGAATACCTACTTCAAAGGTAGGATTTTAAACAAACACAAATAACATACAAAAAGTGATGCCTGCTACAGGACTTTAAACAACAACTTCGAGCGCATGCTCTTTATTTCCTACTTCTCATGATATCTAGAAAAGCGGTAAAGAAATAAGATAAAGTGCAGAAAATGTAAAAGCACTAGCGGCGACTAAAAGCAAGTGGATCGTAAAAAGCAGACAAAAGCAACAGAGAAGCAAGGAGTATGCGTCGAGCAAGCTTCACCAAGAAAAAAACAAAGTCAGAAACAATATCCAACTAAGATAAAAGCACACTCATGTTGCGAATACAACGTGTAATTAGAAGTTCCTGCACCAAGTATCACAAAATATCACATGCATTCAGACAACATATAATATGTATGAATTTCTTAGGACAATGAGAAATAAGGCGTGTCGCATCAGAAGCGTGCATAAGCCATATGCTTCGATCATGTAACAACTTGTTATTTTACATGATCTAAAGCACCAAAATGTACCTTGCACAATGAACAAACGCGTCAACCATAACAAGGCAAATGGTGTCAAATATGAACAAAAACTAGAAGAAAAAGTTTTTTTTTATTAGTATTTTTATGTGAGGAAAATTATATTGAAAACTAAAGAATTTATTCCTAAAATAAACTAAGAAGTTCTAACAAGTTTTATTGATTGTTACAATTTTGTCATAGGAAAAATTAACAAAGAAAAAGTCCTAAATCTAACAAAGAAAATTAGGATCAGGGAGGTGTATTGTCTGAATCAGGTGTATGACTAGAAACTTTAGGCGCAGAGGCCTAACTTGTACGTCCAACAAGCCATTTTGTTACTCATTATCTCAGGGTTCAAACAAATTGAAACGGGCCTAGGGGGTGATGCCATTCGGCCCAGTTCCTCACCATAATATAACAACCTATCTCATTCAAATTCAAACAAAAATTATCCTTCAGCTTTTTTTACCATTTATAAAAACAAATGAAAAAGAAAATAAAAGAAATAAAAAAAATTGAAAGAGGAATATGGTTTTTACGAAGTGGCGATTCAACTCTCAGCAGAAAAATCTTCTTCTCCGCTTTCATGTAGTGTCGCGAACTTGTTCAACCTCATCCGGCGATTCACCCTCATATCCACCATTATGGTTAAGAACATCACTAATTTGTGTCACCGTGAAACACCTCGTCCCAACCCTATCTCTTTCATCTTCACATTGAATCATTGTTGGACCAACTCAGAGGCTTCAATTAAGATCCGACTCAGGAGACGACAATGTCATGAGGAAGAAGCGAATGCGAGGTAAGCAATAACCAATAGAAGAAAGAGTTAATAAAGCAATTTTGACATCTTACCAGTTGGAGTCCGTCTGACGCGTCTTCGATGGCGATGATGATGAGGGAAAACTAGAGAATAAGTCCTGACCGCTCAGGTATGATTTCTCTTGGATTCTTGATATATTTGTTTGCTTCTCATTCGTTCTTCTTCTTCTTCGATTTCACGATTTCTGCTAATCAGCGTGTTTGAATCGTGATGTGATTTTATGCTCAAATTGCAGTTGTTACATACGATTCATGAAGCCTATGCGATGATTTGTCGCAGACACAAGATTGATGCGGTGTTGATTGATGAATTTTCAGGTTGGAGAATCGTTGATGATGAAATGATAACATGCGGAATATAAGAGAAACTTTGATGGTGATGGTGAAGGTTGTGAGGTGGTGAATGTTGTGACGTGATGAAGAAAATGAAAAGGTGGAGGTTTGAAGAAGGCAATGAAGAATTGAAAAGGAGATCGAAGATTGAAGCAATGAGAAGTGAAGTTACAGAGAGAAGAATGAGAGAGGTTTTAAGAGTTTTCTTGGTTTTGTGTGGTGATTCTTTAGTGAATTGAAGAATAAAGCAATTGCCGGGTAAAATTATTTTCTACTCTATTAGAAAACAGTTAGGAGGTTATGAAATTCTGTTAGGGAATGAGCTGGCTTCAGAGACTTTGTTGGAAAATCGGTTAGATGTTAGTTATAATTATGTTTTTATGAAGTGAAGGCTTTGCTATAGTTTTTTGTTATAACGGTTAGAGCTGTTAGTAATAGTTAGTTAGAGATTAAGCAAATCCAAGCTGTTAGATTTGAAAATCGGTTAGAAAATTGGATGGATAGGATTGAGTTAGAGGTTAGTTATCCAATTGTTTTTGTTAATTGATGCTGAGCTGGAAAATTCTATTTTTTTGAAATAGTTTCTACTGAACTGTCATTGGTTAGTGAAATTGCTTCTGATTTAATTCTCTTGAATTCCTGATTTTATCTCTTCCACGGTTTCCTTCTTATTTTTCTGATATTTTCATGGCTTGGTCTATTGAGATATTTCTCATACATGGCCATTAGTTTACTTGGTCTCAAGAAAAGGTAGTGAATTGATTTTGATGAATCGGTTTTCTGTTTCTATTAGGTACTGATGTTGCAGTCTGTTTGATGTAAGCACGAGTTTGGAGGATGCTGAAACTGACTTTTTTGCAGGTTTCTTTTGATTCAAGTTTGGCGCAAGTTTTAGCAAGGGTTTTGGAACTGTTTTGGTTGGTAGAGAATTTATATAATGATAATTTTGTGACAGGTCCAATTATATGTTCACTGAGGTATTTACAAGAATTGGCTTGGCTTTGGTGTAATCTCAAAATGTGAGGGCATGATATTTGAGTCGTGGACATGACTTGGTGGAGATGGAAGCATGAATAGGCATCGAACCAAGAAAATAACTCAAAGAAAACGAAGCGAAGAGATTGATAATGGCAAGGTTTAAAACATGAAGAATGACGGAGAGATTAAAGATGGGAGAATAAGCATTAGGTTTTTTTTTGTGATTGTTTCTTTTTATGTAATGACTTTATATTTGGTGTAATAAATCATGAGGAACAAAAGTTGGATTTTGATCTAATGATATAAACTTGGATGAAACTGAATGTAACTTGCATATTTGGAAAATTGAACTTATAATGAACAAAAAAACTCTTTGAATTTAATGGCCTTGCAATTTTAAGGTCCTTGAATGAAATTTGGATGAATTTATGGTTAATGTAACATGTACTTCAAATGACCAAATTTAGTGAACTCATGAACCTTGCCTAATGCCATTGAATGGCACCATGAATCACTTTATTTGGACTTTTGCAATTGAACTATTGGAATTACTTAACCAATATCTTGAGTTCATCTCCACCAATGAAACTATAATTTAACTCATCGAGTAACTTGCGTGATAAGCAACAAACAATAAACATGCCTTGAACGATGTCTGAACTTGTAATTCTTTGCAAATTTGTAAGTTGTATACCAAGAGAACCATATGAATGAACCTTCCAACCTTATATTGAATCAACCATTGACAAATCATAAAACTGAGACCTTGAACCAATATTAATCTTGAGCACAATTAGAAGTTTCAATGAATCTAAATTGACATCTTATTTCTCTTAAAATCCGAGTTAACTTGCAATTGAAGATACAAGTATTTGAAAGAATGATGTCGTCTTGAAGTCAATGAATTCACAACTTCATCTTTTATGCCACGACCCAATGCTTTGCAGTTCGACCCATAACATCTTTTAACTTGACGATCAACACACTAACAATACCTTGAGGCAAACCTAACCATGTCTTTGAGACACACATTAAGTGAGGAAAGCAGCTTGAGGTGATGAGAGGAACCAAAACCATAACTCACTCAAATGAAAACCCTAATTAACTCATTCTTAAAGAATCCTCATAGAGGAAAACCCTGTAGCTTGAGGAAACGGAAGTTCACAATGATCGTAAATCCAAGTCCTAGCCTCACAAACCAAAGTTAATAAAAACCAATTGATTCAAGCTTGAGTGAAATGAAAGCCTTACAGTATAGAGAGATTCTAGTTCCTTAATATCTTTGATCTTATGCCAAGTCAGTGATTAATGATGCATGTCGTATAAGATGCCCTAATGGAAAGTAAATGTATATGATGATGCATAAGCCATATGGTTTTATTAGAAGGGTAGGACAAATTCGGCGTATTACAACTGCCCCTATTTAATCGTCTTAAACCTGAGGGTGAGATTGGCGCTAACCTTTTGAACATTCAAGGTAGAAGAATATTAAATACAAAGACCTGAAATTTATCCTGAAGAGACGGTGTGAACGGGTTATTTATTTTTTGTGTTATATGTTGGGGAAAGAATTTTTCTGCTCTTCCTGGTGAGAAGGGTTCATGGAAGAACCTGGAAGGTGATTGCTTGTAACATGGCAACGTTGCCGAAATGGGATTTAGAAAATGACATGAAAAGTGCTTGAAAATTGACACAACGAATGTTTAGAAGTTGACAACGACGAGTGTTTAGAAACCGACACGACAGGTGTTTGAAGGTGACACGACGAGTGTTTAGAAGTTGACACGACGAGTGTTTAGAAGCCGACATAATGAGTGTTGTAAGATGACATGATGAGTGTTTAGAAGTTGACACGATAAGTGTTTAGAATCCGACACGACGAATGCTGGAAGATGACACGACGAGTGCTTGAAAAATGACTTCACCGGGGATCCGTAACAGATTAACACAGACGCGTGTTTGAAACAATATTGAAGAGTATCGGAAGAGGACACAAATGAGTATCAAAGGAGATACATACGAGTATTAAAGAAAGGAACAACACGAATGAGTGTTTGAATCAATACAGACGAGTATCGAAAGAAGATACGAACGAGTATCCAAGAAAGGTTTAACATGGACGAGTGTTTGAATCAATACGAACGAGTATCGAAAGAAGATATAGACGAGTATCAAGGAAAGGATTGCATGGACGAGTGTTTGAATCAATATGGACGAGTATCAAAAGAAGATACGAACGAGTATCAAAGAAATGTTAAACACGGACGAGTGTTTGAATCAATACAGACAAGTATCGAAAGAAGATATAGACGAGTATCAAGGAAATGATTACACAGACGAGTGTTTCCATCAATATGGATGAGTATCGAAAGAAGATACAGACGAGTATCAAGAAAATGATTATACTGACAAGTGTTTGCATCAATACGGACGAGTATCGAAAGAAGATACAGATGAGTATCAAGGTAATGATTATAGGTACGATGTCCGCTAGTGTTGAATACGAATTTCTGAGTGAGCCTAGCGGATCTTCCCAGAGTTCCACTGAGGACACTCTCATCGAGGTGAGCACTTTGGGAGCGTCAGAGGAGACAGGGTCTCCTGGTCAACAGGTCAACAGGGAGGATGACGAGATGGTCCCAGCAGACTAAAGTGGTCCAAGTGCGCCAGAGGTTAAGGAGGACTCATTGGACTGGGTTGTGTCGGGCCCGTGGGAGCATGCCTCTCATTTCATCAATCATTCGGATGATGTTTTTATAACGGTGGACCCGTCGATGGATGGCGAAGGGGCTGAGGAGGAATGGTCGATATGGATCCTCGGGGAGAGTAGCCGGATATGCTCAAAATAGGATACTCGTAGGATCCCCATGTATGACATTTTTTTCAGGGAGATGGGATTTCGGCTCCCTTTTCCGGACTTCGAAGTAGCAATTTTCAGGCACCTCAAACTTGCCCCCTCGAATTTGTTCACTTTTATGCAGGCCTTCGAGATTGTTTGCGATTATCTGCAGATTTGGACCACTGTTCCTTTGTTCTTCTATTGTTTCCATCTTCAAAGGAGTATATATGGTGAGCAGTATGGATGGGTTACTTTGAAGAAAGAGAATGGGAAGTTGTTCAAGGCTTATTTGGAATCTGTTCGTTTCTTTAAGGGCAAATATATGCTCGTTCAACCCGTCTCCCGGAGAGCACTGTTGAACGCTTACATGGTTTCCCCGGTGTTCGACGAGGATGGATCCCCTGTTCATAACAAGGAGAGGGAGAATGTGAATAAGATGGTGCCCAAGTTCCATTTCCAATGTTCTAGGAGGCATTTTGAGAGGGGAACTTAAACTTATGTCTGGAAGAAGAAGAAGCTCGGTCTCGAGGATCAGGAGGGCTTTGATTATTTAGTTGCTTTCATAGCGGGAATCCCCTGTGTCCAGTGTGAGGGCAGAGGAGGGAAACCGGTCACTGATAAGGATAGAGAGGTGGTCTATGAACCGTCTGATAGGTGTCAATGAGCTCCTTGAGAGCGAGGACCCCGTTGTGTATTTGGGTAGCTTCTTTTATTTATGTTTCGACTAACTTTGCGTGCTTGACATTTTGCTCTTGTTTGTTGATTTTAATTTGTTATGTTCTTGCAGATAATATGAACCCCGCCCAGGAGAATTTGGCCAAGAGCCTTGTTGCAAAGGAAAAGAAAGCACATAAAGATGCTAAGGCTTCATAGGTCGACACGGGGGCGGCTCCTATGTCGGGATCGAGCAATTTTCCGATGGTGCGAACTTCCCATCACGAGCTGGGAATTCTGCCAACGTGGTACAATGACGATAGAGCTCGGTCGAGTTATCCATGTAGAGCTAAGCATTTGTTTGTCAAAAGAGTGAAGTCTTTCCCCTTCAAGCAATTTGAGTTTCATGCTTGTACCTAGGCACGCATGTGTGGTTAGGTTTGGATAAGTTCGTCTTGTCGACGAAGCTCGCAGACTGCTCAGTGTTCCAACTATAATATATCCTTAGTTTTTCAGTGTTCCAAGGTCGAGCAAGTTGTTCTCCGTGTAGGTTTTCCA